GCGTGGAACGAGGATTAAGATGTAGCGCAGGACACTAGTACCTTTGAAATTATTGTGATATCATAATATCTGTTATTATTAATTCATTTTATTGTCCTGTCTGAGTCTATGACTATGTAGGACATGCAGGTCCTCTCTGCCTACAGGCCAAGGATACCTATACCAGTAGTATATCCCCTCCTATGCCTCCCATACAACTCCTCTCAAACAGTACCGCCCCTCACAAGTCCTCATTCGATCATACACTAAGAGGAGCCCTTTGCCCTTCATTATCTCCCCTCTCCAGCCAACGACACGATGGCCATTGGCGGGTGTATGGCAGCCGGGAAAAATCGCAAAAACCACTGGGTGCGGGGCTCTCCTAATACCGACATTAGGAATAAATCCGAAGACATATTGCCCCTTCTGAAGCGTTCGAAGAGGCCGGCCAGCTGGGCGCTATAGACATGTGTGTACCTCGGAGAATTCACACTCTGCCTTTCTAGCCTCCTTCCAACTCCTTCCCGAAGGTCGTGTTGAATTGTCAGAAAAGTCTTGACGGAGCGTGATTGCTGTATGGTAGCTTAGCCCAACTTCTTTTGTACCGTCCAGGGCGCTGGGGAGTGCCGTTGACTCATCGATAAACGAAGCCCTCCTGGCTAATTAGCCGAAATCTCGGTCTTGGCGCCCACAAAAATTCCAAGGTTGAAAAATCCTCGAAAATATCGGTCCCAGCATGGTCTTCAGAGACCTATTCCTCCTCTCGCTCCACATCTCAGCCGCCTGTTCTTCCTCAAGTTGTTTGTCCCATTAGAGCAACAGTCCCCCATAAGCCATGACCCAGGCTTTGTATTTTTCGACTTGATTTCCTCCTTGCGGGTATAAATAGCGTCGTAAATATGTAGTGAGTGATGGCTGGAGGTTAATGGGGCAAGCTCCTGTATGCAATTGGAGCAACTTCTTTATTGGTCGTTGAGGCGAGATGATTAGTGGTTAGAGATGGGTTCAGGAATCAGATGATAATGGTAAGAGAGGCATTGTCGAGAATTTGTCAAATGGAGATGTGTATGAGGTTGCTTTCGACTTCGATTCGGATGCGATTCTTCTTCGCTATCCCAGATGTGCAGAGCCTAATGAGCAATTACATCGGCACCACTGGAAGGTGAAGAATTCGTCTTTGCCGGCTCATAATATCTGTTGAATTAGTACATGACGTAATGAGAATCCCTTATCGTGTTGCTCTTAGTTCGCTGTGTAACAATGAAGTTGGAAGTGCCAACTATTAACTGGGAATTGGTATGCGCTAGGTGGAAATAAGACGAATCTCAACAATTCTTATTTGGAATGCGCATAGTTAGTTAGAAGGATATGATAGAAACTGGGTCTAAATATTGTGTTTATAGAGACCTGCTCACATAGGAGAAGATAATATCATCCGAATTTTACAAAAGAAATCGTGGCTTTATTTATTTTCAGTTTTGCATTTCAAAGTTTCTACAAGACAATTATGTAGTTAGCGAAGAGTCATATATAGATCTAGACTACCCTTGCCATGCCCGCTGGGTGCTGGGGTAGTACCCTGTCACAATAAAATATCATGATCATCTTTATTATTATTATTGATGATAGCGAGAGAGAGAGATAGATATAGATGTAGATATTCATTTTGATCAATAACCATTTTACCTAATATTTGTGCTAAAACATGACTTGTTGCCGGCAATAATCCGACATTTAACTATCCATTAAAGGCCAGTTAACTTCATTGTATAGTAAACAAATTCATCATATCTCTAAATTTACCTCAAGGCTAATTTGTGGTCTTCAAATCTCCGGAACTAATTCAATTATTTGTTTACCATCAATTAGCTTTCTTATAAAACAGACAGCGTTTAGTCCAGGATAATGAGGCACTTAGTTCTTCATTTCTGCTACTATTTTTGTCCCTTCCATGAAGACCTACCAGTCCAGGCCCTTCAAGATCCACGGGCAGTTTGGTGTTAAAGCTCTACCAGGTAGGAATAGTTAGTTTTTAGACATTCATTGAATTTATGCTACGGGCATTGGCTAGTGGTTAAAACTGATCAAGAAAGTTGTATGAGACGGGCTCAAATATCAGCGCAAACACCTTCAGCGGTCTTTGCTGGGGAGAATAACTCAAAGTGTAAATCGACCACTCCAGAGCAGGCATTGATAATTCTAGTCCTTAAAGCTGCGTCTCCTGGATGTGCTTCCAGTCCTCTTTGAACGCGATGTAACTCCTTTTCGAGGTTGTTGAATGCTTGGAGGTTTTCTAGAAATTTCCGAATTTCCTCCATCAGATTTAGAGTATTTCAGATCATAATCCGTTTATTTACCCAATAGACTGTTGCATAGTGTGACTTTGTGAAATCACAACGCTCGTCAAATGACATATCCTCAAAGTGAAGTGTTAAATCCAGGTATTTTTCACTAGCATCTCCGGCAAACATTATAGCGAGCGCGTCTTTATGTGTGTTTTCTTGACACAAGCATTATTACAGTTATTGAAAAAATATTTTTCGCTTGTAGTAAAAACTGTCAGTTCCATCTCAATATTTATCCTCGTCTTTGGACATTCTAACGAGAGACTCCAATTGCCTACTTTTATGAAGCGGACAATCTTCTCATGGAAGAGAATTGTCTTTTTGTGGGTATGGTTGCTGATTGGGTGCATATGAAAAAGAAAGATTGTCTCTTTCATTACCGCTGCCTTCATGTTTATTTCTCTTGTCTCAATGACTTATAGGGTTGTTGTAGATTTCTTCTTCTTTCTCCTTCACTGGAACATCCCTATTTTCTTATTTTATTTCCCTGTAGATATTTCCTTTCGTCCTTTCATAATCCAAAACTGCTTGGATTGTACATTCGTATTCCTTGTAGCTTGGGTCTTTTAGGTCGTACAGTGAGCTTACCCCTAATGGGGGTTTCGTTTGATAGAATACAATTTCTTCGAGAGTCCATTCATGGAAATCATGTCTCTTGACTTCTGCTGCAAGTTGTTGATCGATGTGTTTTCCCTTCGGATCGCGTGTCATATGTATTACTTGGGAAATAAGATAATCTCGAAGTTCTCTTCTGAATTCCGAGTCAACTTTGCTAAAGAGATTAACATCCCATTCATCAAATTCTTCTACCCATTTTCATATAGAGGCTCATCTCGTACACATTTCACTCTATATAGATGCAGCCTATTCTGGACATATATTGTTATTGCTTCATCAGAATCGAATTTAGGTGGAGTAGAAAAGGGTGGCTTGAGAGACATTATTTGATTGATTTTAGCGTGATGGACGCGAAGCAATATTAGGAAACTTCTCCTCGTTAATGCTTGAATAACAGGGTGCGTTAATGGACGCAGTGGTAAGAAGAGCGAATACTTGATACTTCTTAAGTTTGACACGTCGGGGCTCAATTCAGACAGGCTCGACGACTCCAAGGGACATTCCTTTGTATGAATACCGCGTGCAGATCTGTGACCGATAACATGGATCATTGATCAGTTTCGGTTTATCATTAGTTCTAGCTAATGTGCTAACACAAAGATTTGGTAATATAGTTATTGATCACAACTTGATTACATCTATCTATTTTTCGCTTCCATAAATAATAAACGGAAGTAAGTCCCAACCCCGCACTAATACCAGGTGACTCATATCCATAAATTTCCCTAATAGCTATTGCACCACCGCCAATATTCATACGATCTTTGTGATCAGACTGCTATATTTCTATACGTATGACGAGAAGTCCTACATACATGAAAGTGGAGCTTTCCGCTCACTAATCTCAACTCCAATCTACTTCCTTGTCTAACCCAAGTGGGAAAGTTGTTGAAATCCTTAAGTGTTACGGCTTCGCGTTTTTTATGCATCAGATTTTCATTGCGTATGCAGCTATCTAGCTATGACACAATATCAAAGAAAAGTTCAGAAAATGACTCAATTTACAAGAGGAGCACTCATGCCTCGGATTTCATTTGTAAGTACCACTACGAAGTTATGGTGGCTTTTTCTTCACCCCAAGTCAACCCTCATCCGTGGATACCCACTCAGGGGAACGTTTCAAGAACCCTGAGTTATCTAGACATGCCTCCATCATCTTTCAATTTTTCACCGTGCTATATGTAATCTGAGGTGTCTCTTTCCTAAGTGGAGTAGGTGCCCAGGCTACTCAAACCATACCGGAGAACACCACCAGGAGGCGGACCACAATACCTTCCATCGTTTGCTTGTTTTTATAGTGTCAGCTGCACTCTCGCAAGCGAAGTCTTGGCGCGCACAAAGCCCGATTCGAAAAACTCCTTGCCAAAATTCGGAATCTCATGCCCTTCGGAGTTATATCCTTCCTCCGCATCATCTGGTGAACTTGTCCTGATCCCTCTCACGTACATCCCAAAGAACTGTCCCCCTGAATTGTGCGCCACGCTTTGCTTCCTCCGTCGGGTATAAACTTCAGCGTTAGCGTGTATTTGGTGGTCAACTGAGGCCATAGGAAGTCGACGAGAGGTGTGGTCATTGAAACGAGGATGTACTAGGTCGTACTTGTAGACTTGATGAAGCTTAGTTGAGAATCGGACTCTTTGGGAGTGAAAGATTGACATGGTGGAGTAGTTTGAATCATTGCCTCGTGGGCCAACTTCTTTGATATTGCGAAATTTGACTGAACTTGGCTCTGAGAGAATATTTCACTCCCAGGTTCGTAGAGGACACCACGTACAGGTATTCAGTCTTGCCCTCCGGCCCCGGCGGTTGTACGACTGTCGTGGGGATGGTTTTTGTAGCTGGGGGTATTTGTGCATCTTGCTGAAATTTGATGCCAAAGTTACAGCCATTGGGTGATTCTGCAGACTTCGCCATCCAACGCGTGGCTAGTCACGATCAGTGCATTGACAAGACCTTGAGGATTGTCAACCCCAAACTCTACCATCATCCACTTTTCAAAGTCATCAGCTTCTCCCAACTTCAATCATCTCCATACTATCAATTTCCTCCAAAAAATTTATGTCATCTCACAACAAGATGAGCCTTTCCGAGGAACTCTACGTCTGTATTAATCAACGTCCTCTCACAAGACTGCGTGCTCGATTTAGGCAAAATTACGATAATGCAGCTAACCCAATGGGAGGTAAATTCTTTGTGCAGAGCAATGGGTTAAAGGCTGACTTAGTAGCAATTCATAAATTGTTAAATAAACTTGTAGGATACACAATCGGGTTCGACGATAACGCCCACATCCATTTGCTTCAAGGCCAAATTTATGATATATGCGGCAAAATCACTCGCAATAAGGTTTTTCTACCCGATTTCAAAAACTTCGTCGATTTAATTGCCTCTGATGCCAGCGACCGTGAATGTTGGTCTGAACTCATTGCTTTAGTTGATGATCTTACCTATGAGGAACCACAGTCATTTACGGACATGATGATTCCAATAATTGAAGAAAACACAACAACTACCTACACGCGGAGCACTTCAGAGATTCCCAACTACGACGCAACTTGCCTTTCTCTCACTGTAGCGCTCAAGATAGAACTTACAAACAATATTTACAAAAGTGTTGGTAATTTTTGGGAGGTTTATTTTGAGAATGAAAGGTGGTCTCAAACTACAACGCGAATCTGGGAGTGCTATCAAGATAATAACCAATGTCAACCCTATGTTTTCCACCAAAACATGAACGAAACTGAACTCCGGGCCTGGTTTTACACCTTCTTCGACCGTTACTTGAAACAGTTTACGCTCCCCCACGAGTTAAATACGTCAGAATCAACTTTCATCCGCACGCCAAATGATCCTACTGCGCGTGGCAAATTTTGTCATACGACTCACTTCAATCAGCTTGAGGGCGCAAAGAGTCGACAAAAGCTCGACTTTTTTATTGAAGTCGCCGATCTAGCCGGGGGGAGTAAACATCATTGGAGAGATATTAGGGTGATAGGCGAATTCACCAAGTCCGCTGGTCTGAAAGGTGTCAAGTTCCACCAGCTCACGAGGTACATTCGTGAAATATTCTACGCACAGCCATTGCGTCGATTTGTGCATGGATTTGTTGTTCACAAACTGCATGCTGAGTTCTGGGTAGTTGATCGATCGGGTGCATATAGCTCGGGCGAAATCAGTCTGATTGAAAGCGAAGAAAAACTGGTTCGAGCTATTTCTTCATACATGTTCATGAGCGACGAAGAACTTGGGCTTGATACGACTATTTTTCGTAAAGATGGTCTATCATTCGTTACCATTCGAGAAGGTGATGAGCCGGCTGATAATGAGATCGAAATTATGCCCGAGCCAATCTATAGACCAGAGACAATAGTATCACGGGCAAATCTTTGCCACCGGACGAAGGATGACTTGTTTATGGTCAAGTTTTCGTGGGGGTCGGGAGCAGAACGATCCGAAATAGATTATCTGAAACTGGCAAAACCAGTGAATGGTGTCGTGAACTTAGTGTGGGACAAGGTGTTGCATGAAGTGGAAGCCCACCGAGCTGGGCTAGATTTCTCAATGGCATTTAAGGTCTCGATTAAAAACAACAAATGGTGCCTTTCCAGAGGCCTTCAGAATGAATCACAGACAACACCGGGCTATTTCCGCAAACGTAAGCTTACTTTAGCAATACTTTCGCCAAATGGACGCCCCCTTAAATCTAGTCGATCGCTCCGAGAGTTTTTAAGTTGTATTCTTGATGCCATAATTGGCCATCGTGATCTTTACAATGACGCAAAGGTCCTTCACGGTGATGTTTCTGAGGGAAACATTATTTTGACCAAGCCCGACGAAAACGGAAAATCAGAGGATACTCTTATTGACCTGGACATGTCAACTTCGGTCGATGGCAAGGTAGATGAGAAAGAAGAAATGAAAATAATCGGTACTGTCAAGTACATGGCAATTGAGTTACTGAAAAACATGAGCGAAGATAAGTATAGCATCAAGAAATCGTGTCGTTACGATCTCGAGTCATTTTTTTACGTTTTTCTTGTGGGATGCCTGCGGTATGGTCGTCCAAGCTCAGAGCCAGCAAACTTGAACGGCTGGTATACAGACGATCTATTAACGAACTATAACACGAAGAGAATAGATATTACTGTGGGCTTCGAGAAAAATATCATAGATCATTTTTCGCCAAGTTTTGACGCAGTCAAGGAATTGGCAAGGGATTTTCGCAAGATTTTGTTTGGAAGTAATCTAGATCAGTTCATCTCAAAGCCTAACTCCGTAGAACTTTACGATCCAATTATTCATGCGTTTAAAAACGTTATAACACAAATTGACGGTATGTTATTCTTCTATCAAAACTCTTGAAATCCCCAACTTTACTCTAGTTTACTGATAACATTCGTAATTTCCTTAGAGGGCCATATCAAAAACGAGAATTTAGACTTACCAGCTGTGAAAAAGAGAATGAGACGGACAAATTCAAGGGGAGGATCAATGGTCAAGCCGAGCAGGACGAAATCAAGGGGAGTATCAGCGCTCATTTCAAAGACGAAATCAAGGAGAGGAACTAGGCTTCAGCCCAGAAACACTCAGTCATAATTTACTGTTGATGGTGCTCAGTTATAAAACTCCACTTTCCAAAATTTCCTTGACCATCCACTTATTGCAGAATCGAAGTTTTCAAAGAGTACTGAATGACGATGTCCTTTTGTTACGGTTTACCCGTTGTTTTAGCTTAGGTGAATACCTAAGCGTATTGGTGAGGACTCTGAGGATAAGACTGTTGGGATTGAAGCAATGTCATAGCACAGTGAATATGGGCAATGCGTAGCCGTGCGGTAATTATTCGACCTAAGGAAAAGGTATAAGCAACGAGACTCATAGAGTGGACAAAATGTTATAAGTACCTTGTAGCTGTAGTTAGATTCCTCTTCATAGAGTTCATTAAATCGATTTTTTCATCACCAACTCGGTTTCTATCACACCTTCATGGAATATGAAGTTTCTGTTGGCAACACAAGTATTTCATATTTGTGGCAACTTTTGAGCTACTGTTGATATATATCTTAATGTGGTTCCTTATTCCAAGATCCGTTGGCTTTAATTTTTTAAATGGATTAGGTCCCAAGGTAATGCTCTGAGTCCATTTGGGGTCCAGAACTAGTGAAGCAGGCAGGGATCTCTATGTACAAGTCCACCCCATTCTGACTGTGTGAACTTCCACTGAAAACGAAGAAGTCAACAACAAAACTATAATCAAAACGTATTTGATTATTATTATCAATTCATTTTTTTGTCCTTTCTAAGTCTAAGACTATGTAGGACATGTAGGACTTCTCTGCCTACAGGCCAAATATAGCCATGCCAGTAGTATATCCTCTCCTATGGGGTTGGATGGTGCAGTGGTACCCCATTCGGACCGTTCTCCCAAGTAGATTCTGGGTAGCTTGAACACCTATCCCATTTGAGGCAGGAACAAGCTGGTTCGAATCCAGTAAAACCCACATACCGCTCTCTCTCGCGGTGATATTGTACTTGTAGGATGATGAAAGCACACTCGGACAGCCAAAGAGTTTTCACGGTTTTCCCTACGGTGGTTTTGCTCAGAAGAGGTTATGCGCCGCAAGGATTAGCCTCGAGTGGTATCTGCAAATGAAATTTGAGTGTGAGTGTTCTAAATGTCATATTGAGTCATCCTTCTTAAAGTACATACTGTAATAGTACCGATAAATAAAGCTTAAGCACTCGCATGTCCAAAGATAAGTTTATTTACTAACTGATTAACAAGACTACTGCTACACTTAACGCCCTATTTATATAATTATTAGACACTGAGGGTCAAATGAAAAATGTAGAGTTAAGTTGTATCGATGAAATCTCTGCTCCTTGACTCCTCTCCAGCAGTGATGCTATATACCCATATGAAACTATCTCGAGGAGAGATTATCTTCTCCTCGTTTCCCAAAATTACATATGAAATATATTACATGTGTTGAAGATCAAAAGATCTCAAGTTAGAGCTTTGACTATCCTGAACATCCTGAACATCCTGAACATCCTAGTCATCCTGATCACCATATCCCTGGTGAGATATCAAAGCTCGAGTAAGTTAATCCGAGATGTGTCATCCCAATATCCAATGATTCTCATTACCTTATTCAGTAAGTTCTAAGCTATCAGATATTTGACAATAATAGATCCAAATATTTCAAACAATAGTCTCTGTTCTCTAGTCAGGCTCCTATTATTAAAGTGTGGGCTAGTTACCAACGATGTTTCGTGCCCGAGCAGTACCAGACTTTCAATACTAGCGTATTAATGTGCATGAAGCATGAATATTCCATTAAGTGTTGTGAACTACTTATTAATACAGTTTATGGAGGGCAAGACTGAACACCTGTACGCAGTGTGCTCTACAAACCTGGGAGTAAAATATTCTCCAAGAGCCAAGTTCAGTCAAATTTCGCAATATTAAAGAAGTTGGCCCACGAGGAAAAATTTCAAATTACTCCACCATATCATTTTTTCGCTCCCAACGAGTTCAACTCCTATCTAAGTCTCATCAAGTCTACAAGTATGACCTAGTACATCCTCATCCCAATGACCGCACCTCCATTCGACCTTCTCTGGCCTCATTTGACCACCAAATACACGCTAACGCTGAAGTTTATACCCGAGGGAGGAAGCAAAGCGTGGCGCACAAATCTGAGAGACAGTTCTTTGGGATGTATATGAGAGGGATCAGGACAAGTTCACAACATGATGCAGAAGAGGGATACATTCTCGACGGGCGTGAAATTTCGAATTTTGGAAAGAGTTTTACGAATTGAGCTTTGTGGGCGCCAAGACTTCGCTTGCGAGAGTGCAGCTGACACTATAAAAACAAGCAAACGATGGAAGGTGTTGTGATCCACCTCCTGGTGGTGTTCTCCGGTATGGTTTGAGTAGCCTGGGCACCTACTCCACTTAGGAAAGAGACACCTCAGATTACATATCGCACGGTGAAAAATTGAAAGATGATGGAGGCATGTCTAGATAACTCAGGGTTCTTGAAACGTTCCCCTGAGTGGGTATTCACAGATGAGGGTTGACTTGGGGTGAAGAAAAAGCCATCATAACTTTGTAGTGGTACTTGCAAATGAAATCCGAGGCATGAGTGCTCCTCTTTTAATTGAGTCATCTTTTCTGTACTTTTCTTTGATATTGTATCATAGCTAGATAGCTGCATACGCAATTAAAATCTGATGCAAAAAAAAACAAAAGACCCAAGGCCACAGCATACATCACTACGGTCTCTTATGGGTGGAAATTGTCCAATTGTCAAAATGCCTGGGTTTAGATCCCTGTACATTTTGATTTGATTGGTTTAGTCTTTATGTAGGTCCATGTCGAGTTTGTCAACTAGTTATGCAAGCAGGGGTACTATCCAATGATATTCCGCGCGAGTCTAAATTTTTGGGGACGGTTTTCAATACCATAGGTAAAGTACAATGGTGTAAGCAGACGTATGCAAGCATAAGTCTGAACCCAGCCCATAAGCAAAAGTACGATCTACACAAGCACACATTGGTCAAGTAGTGATGATCAGGGGCATTAATAGGGTAGAATCGGGGGACTATTCTCAACACCTGTCAGTGGTGTCCCCTACAAACCTCCAGCTCTCACTGTAGAGTCTGCAGAGCCGAGATTGAGTAACAAAGTCCTCACTTCAACGAGGATTCCCAATCGCTTTTGCGGTCTGTATCGTCTTCATCTCTCAACACAATCCCCTTTCACCACTATCATGAAGCTAACCACAATCAGATCAGATGGTAGGGTCGGAGCTCTACTCGTCACCCACCCTTGATCATGGAGGAAAAGCCATCTGATGAGTTTCCGGAGCGTGCCCAGCACCCGATACGGAGATGGTGGATTGGATCAAGTCGACCTCGACTGTTACAAAGAAGGGAGATATAGATGAATATGCGCACCTCATGTGGTCCCGGTGTCTAGGCCTCGCCTGGCTGGGACTGCAGGTTTTTTGAGACTTTTTCCCGCGCACGCAGTTTTCATTGCTACCATTTTTATTTTTTTTGGGTAGAAGGTTCTGTGGAAAAGGTGGCTGAATTCCACGGGTAAATACTGAGCTGAATGGCTATTCATCAAGGGGAATATATCAATGATCTTTCAAGTAACAAAAGAGGATAGGAGCACTGTACAAGGTGTGGCCTGGGTCAGAGGGGAGCCCAATGTGCCAGATAGTCATAGACTCAAGTAGTACAATAAAACACACACACACAATTTTTTGAAATTCGAATTTTCGAATATTCACCCTTTCCCCCTCTCCCTCCCTCTCTCGATATCGTACGCCCTTAATTCAAAATTTGTGAGCGACTGGCAGGCTACCAATATGCCCCCAGTTCGCAGTAAGCCATCGCGGGCGAAAGAAATTGTAGATAACCGCAAGCACCTCAAACACGTTGCTCGACAGAAAGCAAGCGTCAAGTTGGGCCCACTAACTGCCGTTCAAGAGATGAACATCGACCAATTAATCGACGAAAGTACCACAGATTGCGACATGATAGATGTTGGCAACTTTGACATTGACAAGATTCTTAAGAATCTGAAAAGACTACCTATCTCAATTCACTCCAAGCCAGATGCGACCGGAGCTGAAAATGCAGCGACGAGTCGCAACAATTTAGGGACAGCGGCTACCGGACAGCATATACTTCCTCTCATTGAAGTCGCTGTGCCAGCTATGAGGCGGGCTGCGATTACAGATGCTAACAAGTCAAAAGGTGCAGCATCTACCCCAAACCCCCTGGAACATACACCAGGAAACACAGAAGAGAATCCTTCTCCTCACAGTGGAAATGAAGGCAGGCAAACGGAGAAATGCCCCCCCGAACTCAGAGCCTTGACTGAGGCTGAGGAACGCCGGGCCGCAAAAACTGCGGAAAATGTAAAAATTTGCACCGCTGCAATAAACAGTGTCGAGAATGCTCTGTCCCCCCTATCCAAAGGGTCGAGTGTTCAATTTATAGACTCTATGAAAGTCTACATTAGAGCTGCAATAGCTCAATTTATGATCGCGGGACCAGGTACAGTCCTCCCATCACTTCCCCCACGCCCCGAAAGCCAGGCTACTGGCAGCAAGATTATAGAACGTGCTGCCAAAAAGCAGGATGAGCCACAAAATAAAGTGACTCATGACAAAGTCTCCCAGGCCAAAACCACTTGGGCCACAATCACCCGCAACGGTCTAAAGACTCCCCCGGCAGCTACAAAAGTCGCGCAGGCTATGCCGAGGGCGGCAAACTCGACGCGGCCGTCAAAAAACCCGACCACCCCAACGCAATCAGCCATGAAAGATGAACGCTTGTTTCTTCGCCTTGGAAATGAACACCCTTGGAGAAAGCTATCACCGTTTGGTGTTAGAGAGGCTGTGGCAAAAGTGCTTGAAATTCCTCAAGCCAATATTGAGCACGTATACCGTGTTCCAACTGGCTTCGCAATTAGAGCCGAAAACCAAGAGGCACGCGCCAACATGTTAAGCCTAGCTGGGTCCCTCATCCAGCAAGATGCCATACTGGAAGAAGCATCGGACCTAGGCTCAC